TTTCTGGGTTAAACTCGGATATACGTCATGAGGTTCAAGCGTTGCAACCGCAATCATTAACACAGGCGATAGCTCTGGCCAAACTACAGGAGGATAAGCTTAATGACCAACGCTGACATTTACGTCAACGTCCCCATATTATGTCTTCTTCCGGTCCTCCATTGTTACCTACCCCACACTCACGATCGTCGGCAACGTTATCCACACCGCCTAAAACACATTATAAGAAATTGACTTATGAGGAGATGTTGGATCGTCGTGAGAAAGGACTATGCTATAATTGTGATGAAAAATTCAGTCCCGGGCACAAGTGCAAGGGTCATTTCTTTTTATTGGTTGCCATAAATGAGGATGACGATATACAGGGGGAGTCATCAGCCCTTGAGTTGGACCCTAATTCCCTTCTTTTAGAAGAAAGAAGTATGACACGTAATGAAGCCTAAATCAGCTTTAATGCTTTAGCTGGTTTACCTGCCCCAGAAGCACTAAGGATTGTGGGCCACATTAAAAAACAGCCTATCACTATTTTAATTGATGGGGAAGTACTCATAACTTTATTTAAGTTGTTAAATTCTTGAATTTGGCAACCCAACCCACTAACATATTGAGGGTCATGGTAGGCAATGGAAGTGAACTTGAATGCCATAGTATTTGTCCAAAAGTTAAGTTGATGATTCAGAGCCATATGTTCGCAGTAGACCTTCACGTTCTTCCTATTAAAGGTGCAGATGTTGTTCTTGGCATCCAGTGGCTAAAGGAATTGGGCTCCATCTGCACTGATTATTCTCAACTCACTATGAAATTTGTCAAGAATGAAAAATTTGTTGAATTCACAGCCAATGCACCCATAAGCCCAATGACATTTCAGCCCACCAAGTTAAACGCATAGTACAAACACATGGAGCCGCAGGCTTCTTCCACATCAGAATACTTCCTACTACACCTTCACAATCTCAACCAAATATCCTTACTCATCCCCTTCCTGACATCTCTGCCCTCTTACACAAATACTGTAAGCTTTTTCAGAAACCTCTCTCACTTCCCCATCACGCCCTAATGATCACAAAATCCATCTCCTCCCCAATTCTGCTCCCGTCTCGGTGCGACCTTACAGATACCCTCATTTTCAAAAGGCTGAAATTGAGAAACAGGTGGAGAAAACGTTAACTAATGGTATGATTCAGCCAAGCCATAGTCCGTTTTCCTCTCTGGTACTGCTTGTGAAGTAGTTGGCAGTTCTGTGTTGATTTTCGTGCTCTTAATGCTATTACCATTAAGGACAACTTTCCAATTCCAACTATTGATGAACTTTTAGATGAGTTGGGTGGAGCTTCTTGGTTTTCAAAATTGGATTTACGCCAAGGCTATCATCAGATCCGAATGAATATTGCAGACATTAGAAAAATTGCATTTCGAACTCATCATGGACATTATGAGTACACGGTCATGCCATTCGGGCTTTGCAATGCCCCCTCTACCTTTCAAGCCATAATGAACGAACTGCTAAAGACGTTCACGCGCAAATTTGTGATCATTTTTTTTTACGATATCTTGGTTTATAGTCACTCATTGGAAGACCACCTTCATCAATTAGAACAAACATTCCTATAATTGTTACAAGGGGAGTTCTTTCTAAGGGACTCTAAATGCTTGTTTTCCCAAACACAGTTAGAGTATCTAGAACATGTAGTTTCTTCAGCGGGAGTTGCACCTGAACATTCAAAAATCCAGGCAATGGTGGATTGGCCAACACCAACCACTATTAAAGCTCTTCGTGATTTCTTGGGTTTAACAGGATTTTATAGGCGATTCATAAAGGGATATGTTGTTATCGCTTCACCCCTTAAAACTCTCCTAAGGAAAAACGCATTTAGGTGGTCCATAGAAGCTCAAACTGCCTTTGATACTTTGAAGAAGGCCATGACAGAGGCACCAGTTTTAGTCCTCCCAAATTTTGACTTGCTCTTTGTTTTGGAGACGGGTGCATCAGGTGTGGCCATGGGTGCAGTTCTTATGCAGGAAGGACATCCTATAGCATTTCACACTAAACCATTTTGTTCCAAACTCATGTGATCTTTGACATATGTGCATGAACTTCATGAAATCACTTATGCTATCAAGAAGTGGCGACAATATCTTCTTGGACACTCTTTCACAATCCTCACAGATCAACGCAGCCTCAAGGAGTTAATGTCACAAATTATTCAAAGTCCTGAGCAACAAATTTATTTGTAAAAGTTGCTAGGATTTGATTATTTCATTCAATATAAGGCAGCTGATGCCCTCTCACGACCCCAAGACCTTGGTAACAGCCAGTTTTTAGTTCTATCCATGCCTCATTTTGTGTTCCTAGAGGAGCTCCGCAAAGCTCTACACACGAGTTCAGAATTTACTCAATTATTCAAGGCAGTACAAATGGATCCTGATGGTCATGAGAACTATAGTATCCACCAAGAATTGTTGATGTATACGGCAACACCCAATTTTGTCCGGGTAAGTAAATAATTAAAAATAAAGAATAAGAGAATAATAATTAATTGTGGGTAAAAAGGGATAAAATAATAACTATAATACCGGACACAACATTTTTGAAATGTTAGTTTAATATGATAATTATTTGAATCAATATTATGCTAATAATTATAAACAGTAATTAAAATAGTATATTAATATAATTTGTTGCGTCAGTTGCTTTTAAAAAGGAAAATATGATTTTTTTTAAAATGGACAAATTTTTTGATAATATTGATAATCAATGTTTTGAATATTATTTAATTTGTTTTCTGGCAACCAAGACCATTTCTTTCCCTATTTTGTTTTGTTGTCATTTAATTCACAATTAAGGCAAGATTGCCAGAAACTCACAAATCCTTATGGGTGATAAAACAAACTCAAAATCATTTTTCTACATAAAGAACTACGCGATCCTTGATTGTCCATCATAAATGGATATACGTATGAGCAAGGTCATTCCTTGTCGAGTTCATAAACAAAAAAAATATATTTTTGTTTCTTATTAGTTTCTTTATTTTTTTAAGGAAAAATTAAACAGTTATCAAAACCACGTCAACTTTATACATTTAATTAAAAGACATTTAATTAAAGATATTGCTTTTAGGCAGGCGTAGTAGGGTGTTAATACCTTCCTTACTCGTAACCGATTCCCGAACCTAAAATCTACTTTTCGCAGACCATGTCTTATTTTTTTGGTTTTCCATAGTTTTTTCATAATAAATTATGGTGGCGACTCCAAAATCTTTTCTTAATCCCGTTTGTTTTTCGACTCGCCATCCCGTCGCGATCCCGGTTGCGACAGTATAAAGGAAAGATTTGGAGTGAAAATCCTTTCACTCCATTGTTGTTGGAAGAATTTTGCACGACACCATTAAGTGGTCACACAGGCATTGCAAAGACTTTATCGTGGCTCCAACAAAATTTTTATTGGCAGGGCATGTGTGACAACGTCCAGAAGTTTGTGGCTCAATGTGTAACCTGTCAGCAAACCAAATATGAAACCAAAAGACCCTTTGGCCTACTCCAACCTTTATCTATTCCCTTGGAGTCGTGGGTTGATTTGTCCTTAGACTTCATTATAGGTTTACCTCTCTTTCAAGGAAATACGGTCATTTTAGTGGTGGTTGATCGTTTCTCCAAATGTGCTCACTTTGGAGTATTACCCACTCAGTTTACTTCAATTAAGGTTGCCCAACTCTTCTTGGACATGGTTTGTAAGCATCACGGTTTTCCCCGTAGTCTAGTTTCTGATCGAGATCCCGTTTTCATTAGCAAATTTTGGCGAGAATTATTTCGGTTGTGTGGCACCAAATTTCGGATGAGTACATCCTTCCATCCAGAAACTGACGGACAGACAAAAGTTCTCAACAGGATCCTTGAGCAATATCTTCGTTCCATGGTGCACAACAAACCCACAGAATGGAAAAATACTTAGGGGTCGCTGAATGATGTTACAACACTACTGTTCATTCAGCTATTGGGATGTCTCCTTTTTAGGTCACATACGCGAAGGAACCTCCCTCCATTCCGCATTACTTAGATGGCTGTTGAAGCAGTGGATTCTTTATTATCAAGTCGCCAAGACATGATAGATGCTCTTCGAAGGAAGCTTCAAAAGGTGTAAGATCAAATGAAGATAATTGCTGATAATAAGAGACATTTGGTTGTATACCAGGTGAATGATTGGGTGTATGTTCGCCTTCAATCATACCGACAAAAATCTTTAAGGGGAACCACTTATCCAAAATTGGGTAAGCACTTCTATGGTCCATTTCGCATATTGGGGCAGATAGGACCTGTAGCATACCGACTAGAACTGCCTTCAACTTCCAAAATCCACCCAGTTTTTCATTGCTCTATGCTCAAGACCCATCATGGTCCCCTTCCTCTTCAACAAGCTGATCTACCGATTGCCACACATGGAAACAACCCATTGATTAGTCCTATTGCTATACTGGACTCCAAATGGAACAACTCTACATCACCCCCAACGGAATTGGTTTTAGTACAATGGATGGGATTAACTCCGAAGGACACTACTTCGGAAATTTGGAATGAGTTACGGACAAGGTGATTCTCCCAAAAGCAGTAATGATAACAATTCAAGCCCACAAAAAGATTTCAATAATACCATGAGGCCCAATGAAAAATCTAACTCAAATATATCAACAAGAACCGTAGATTATCAAAATATTTAATTGATTATAAATTGTGAAGGGTGGGATTGTTTGGGGCGTGTGAATATTTTGTTACGAGCTCTCAATTTGTTAGTGAATCTATTGAGAGTTTGTTATTTTCACATCTCTGTTGTATTTGCCTGAGTAATGAAAGAATAAGGGAGATGAGTTTTCTCCTTTTCTATATTCCTCTCTTTATTCTGCTGCAGGAGGCTCAATCAAGGCATTTTCTTCTATCACCAACACACTCGGTTCAGCTTTCCGATTTTCAGCCCAAAAGCTCAGGAAAAGGTAAGATTTTGTGTAAACTAGGACAATAGCATAATATATCATAGAAGTTTAAAAAAAATATTTTTTTTTTGGGTTGTATACATTGACACAATATAGAGATAATGCAAGAAAAGTTCAAAAGGGGAAGCCAGAAAAATAGACCTCAACCCTTTAATTTTCTGCAGGCTATCAATGGTTTGATAACATATATCTCTATTTATATGGAAAACAAAACTAACTTATTGAGAGTCACAATTCACCAAAGACCATGACAAAGCTGAAACACCAATTCCAGCTTTAGACACAATGATGTACAAAACGATCATCCATGGCTGCTAACAAGATGCACATAAAACAGCTCCTTCTGAACAGATGATCAGGTGCCTGTGTCATTCTCATGGAGCAAATGGTGCATGTGGCAGATAATTCTTCTATGAACCTGTGAGAATGCCTGTTTCAAAAAGTAGCTCACCAAGTTTTGGCTTTGCAGAGTTTTCACAAGGAGGGTCGGTGTTGGATTTCTCTAGCTCCTCATCAATCATGATCTCCATGGCACGACAAGTTAAACTGCAGAATGCCTTTTCACCCCTGCAACATATCAAACCATACCAATCTCAACCAGATTCAGTATCATCATAACACACACTGATAGCATAGTATTAGCTTCTTAAAATTACATCAGAAATGTGAACATGATGTGAGATGTTCAACATAATGTACTTACAAAATTCAACATAAGTTCATTAATGTTCAACAAAAGAAAGCACAAAAAAACCCAAAAAGAGAATCTGGAGTCGGTGTTAGTCAAAATAAAAGAGATGTTGTAATACGAAGGGCTAACTAACTCACCCATAAATATAAATGTCCTTCCCCTCTTCTAGTTTCTTGTTGCAATGGTGGCAGAAACTCAAGAAGTCGCTTGAGGGATATGGGTTTGGAGTCCCTGACCTGTTAGCAACAGTGTTCACTACCTTCTCCTTCTCTTCATGGATTTTGAATGCATTGGAATGAGTCTCCAGAATGCAATCCCCAAAAATGTGAGTTGTTTTGGGATTAGGGCCGTAGGAAATCACACATGTGTAGTCCTCAGAGCGTTCAATCTCAGTAGCAGACAGAGAGTTGATAAATTCATTAGAAGAGCTAATGGAAAGAGGGTTTGTGTTCAACTTTGTAGGTGGGGGGAAGGTATTTGAGTACTGGCTTCCCCCAATAAAATGAGGAGGAGAGCACAATTGCATGTTCACATCTTTCACAGCAAAATTTTCAGTGTCTGAATCAGAGAAGGAAGTGTTTAAGCCAGAAAGCTCTTTCAGTGGACTGCAAGAGTCCAATGAACAAGACCTGGTTCTGGTTCTCCCAAACAGTTCATGGTCAAGGCCACTTTCTCCAATCTCAAAAAGAACAGTGGACTCAGATTCACCCTTGTGGGTAACAGATCCATTTTTAGGGGCATAAGGAGCCTTACAAAAATCTTTGGGCAAAGACTTGGATCCCTCAAGAAAATCCCTATGGATTTGGCAATTTGGGGCTTTGATCATCATTTGGGGACTGAGATTAACCCTCTTGCTCTCTGGTGACTGCAGAATTTTCCCAGAAAACCTAGAACAGTCTTCCAAAGACTCCACAATGCCTAGACCTACTTTGCAACAATCCCAACTCCTTGGGTGCCCTTCATGAGGTGAAGATCTTGGCTTCCTAACAGGGTTGCCTAGATTTGAAAGAACTCTAGCATCAAGTGGAGAAGTGGGGCTCCTAACTGAATCAGAATCCAACAACCCTTTCGGACCTAGACCCACAAACAGACAAGGAACATTGAAAATTGAGTGTCGCTTGATGTTGTTGCGTCCCAAGCCATGATGAGTCTGCGAATAGTGCTCTGAATTGGCTTCACACTGTGTCAGATTACTCATGTGGTGTTGTTCCTTCTGCACGGACCTGTTCCTCTTCCTCAGCATTATCTCAAAACACCTGCACACGACACAAACACAACCAATTTCAAATAGCGGACAATGCTACAGAAGTAGCCACACCCCATAAAATAAAAATCACAACTTTGAAAAAATGTCACACTAATTGCAAGATTCCCCCAAAACCCAGAAGAGAAAAAAAAAAGTAAAAGAAGCCAAACACAATCATTATGCTATTTCACTCCCATCGCGAAAAAAGTGAATTAAAAAACCCCGAAAGAACAAAACTTTTTTATGTCATTGAAAGATCAGTGAGCTTCCCAGCTACAAACAAAACCCCACACTAACAAAACCAAAGTGAAAACAGCCAAAGGGAACAATACAATCGGTGACATGGATCAAGAAAACCAGAGAATGAAAAGGAAGAACAATGAAGAAGGCAAAGGAAAAGAAAACCACTAATCCACCCACCCTATTCTCTCTCTGTGCTATGGAAACTGGACAGAGATGAGGGTGTGAAGAAGAGTGTTGAGTCCCGAATACAGTAAAAAAAGAGAGCAGATATGTGAAACTTGTGCAGTACGAATCCTCTCTCTTCTTGCATGCCTCAAAATCAGCGAAGCAGTGAGCTTCTGAAATACTCCTCTCTCTCACACAGACTCTCTCTTTCTCTCTCTCTAAATAAATGTACTATACAATAATACTGTATCTATCTGCCCACAGAATTGTTTTCCGTTTGTACTTTCCCCATTTTTGCTCAATGGTTCATTTCAAAGCGGTGCTTCTTTTTTTGCTAAATTAGCAATGAAATTGAGCTTAGCAAACTAATTCATGGATGAGGTGAAGGGTTATGGTCTTAATTAAATTAACTACCCATTAAACTAATGTTTAAGACAACTGTTTGCACTTTCTCTTGCCAACAGATTTTTCTTTTGCCCAATTTACTCTCTAGTGTCTGAATCACCCATAAATTTCTATGCAGAAATATGCACACACATAATTGATGCCTTCCATTTACATATCTTGAAAATTTATTGTAGGCTGCTGCTCCAGTATTCACAATGAATTTTATTTCCAAAATATATGTTGTAGTACATAAATTAAATTTACATAACAATGCCCTTATGTTCTTTTCAGTTTTACTTTTTTATTATTTTCATTCTACAATTACTTTATCCGTTAATTTGGGATTCTGTGTTTAATAAAAATGTTCAATTACTTAAATCCTGCGTTTAAGTCACTGAATTTACATCTTAATTAATATCATAATTGATTTTTGTTTATCATTTTAAGAAATCGAATCAAAAGGGAAAAGCAAGCTGAGACAGAACGAGAAATCTTGATGGTTGAAAAACACTTTAACTGAAATCAAGAAAAACGAAAAAAAATTACTTTAACTGTGTGATTTCAACTAAACTTCTGAGTTATTAGTATTTTATAAGCAAAACTTAAATATTTACTTAAATATTAATGTAAGTTTTTATAAAGGAGTTTTAATTTTGTATTGAGAGTATGTGGGATGTCTGGGAATAAACTTGTTCTTACTTTTGTTTTGTTTGAAAAATATAATCTTGATTTTAAATAAGAATTTTGTTAACAATTTTTTAATATTGTTGGTATTTTTAATTTTACAATTCTTAAGAAAATATTTATTAAAATTATCCTTGAAAAAATACAAGAAGTTAAACTATCATGATGAAAGGTAACAGAAAATGATAACCATGATTAAGGTTATTTTTTACAACAACAAAAAAGTAATGGAAAACGATAATCATGTATAATTTTAATGAAATTAAAAATAGTACTTCCTTGACCTTTTATTTTGTAATTTTTATCATGTATAATTTTCATCTAAGATGGAATGAAATTTTGTTACTTTAATTTATAATGTTAATTTTTTTTAGTTTGAATCGCATAAAAAACAATAAATGTAAAAATAGTATAAGAACTAATAATAAGTGAATAGAAATTAATAATAATGTACTAAAAACATATTAAATAAGATAATATTTAATAAAAGTGGTAATATATAGTGTTTATTCTGAAATGAAATGCTTAACAAAAATAATATGTTAAAGAAAAAAGAACACCTAATTAAAGAAAAAAATTATCCTAGAAAGTTGAAGAGTGGTATTATTAAAATGGTGAGTTAGGTATGATTTAATTAGTTTGTGAAAAATGTATTTGTTGTTTGTGGGGGAGAACATGATGAAACATTTGGCAGCAGAAAAGGAAAACAAAAAAAAAGGTTATAACAGAGAGAGATTAGAGAGAGTGAGTGATGAGAAAACGACAAAATAGGGTTTGTGATGATTGAATTAGAACTGACAATGCGTCACGGTCTTGGTCAGTTGACTGGGCAAACTGGGCCCACAAAACCATCACACAATTAAAGGAGAAGAGCAAAAGATGCTAAAACAAAACCGCACCGTTTCAATTATCTACTACCTAGGCAACCCAATCCCCAAAACTTCAATTTCAATTCGATGTTTCCTTTCTCTCTCAATAAATTAAATTCTATCTCTATTTTCATTACTCATCACAAAACACATGCACTGTATTTTCTAATGATAATATTTTTTATTATTATTATTATTACTATAAAATTGAATATAAACAATTTCTATAATTTTATTAGAAATAATTTATTTATTTTGTAGCATTTTTATAATTTATAAAATAATTAAATTTAAAAAGAAAAAGATTAAACCAAAAAGAACTGTTAAATTAAAAAAAATACTAATAAAATTTATAAAATAATTATTTTAATTTAAAATAAAAATATTTGAAAAATAAACGTTTACGTTAAAAGGAAAATAATCTTTAGTATATAGATATAGATAAAGATTGTTTTTTTATGCAATAATCTAGTACTCTTGTGCAATGTTATTAATATAGAGATTCGTTGTTTATTTTCTATTTATAAAGTTCAATCAAAGAAAAACTTTGTTTAATTTTTCTCTATAATATTAATAAGATTCAAATATTCATTTTTCGTACAACGTATAAATTTCAATTAATCTTGAAAAATATTTGTAATAGGAATTAGAAAATGATATTTAAAAAGGATGATAATTTAAAAATAAATAAGAGTCGATTATTTTAATATTAAAATATTTTAACATAGTTTTATCATTAACAAATTACTTTAAAATATATGTATTGTTTTTTTTAAATAAATTTTTTAGTGCTTTTACTTGTTTTTAAAGATTTTTTTCTCTTTTTGTTTTTCTTTTTAAGAAACCAAATAGCAGGGTTAATTATTGTGGTGTCAGTTCTGTAATGAATCCATCAATTTTTTCTCTGTGCATGAGTTGACTTTTATCTTCTTCTTTTTGTCTTTTCTGTTATGAATTATATGTGAGTATTGTTTTAGTTATTTATATGAGACTGTATTGATTAGTGATTTTAATAGTGTATCTCAATCATATTTATGTTGTTGTAGATAGATGTAGCTTGAAGTCTTTAGAGCAAGTTCACTTGTCTCTCGCGTAAAACTAATTGCATTTGTTTTTAAGTTATATATATCTTGAAATTTTATTTTGCATGATTGAACAATATGACGATGTTTGATCTACTGAATCTGGTTTGAGTTTGATGTTTATTATGTTGTTTTTCTTGATTGAATTGGTGTTGATTGAAAAAAATTGAATCTGATTAATTAAACTAGTTTGTATGTGTCATGAGATTAAATGTTATTTATAACCCGAGTATTATTAAAGGAATACCAATTTGATAATTTGGACATATTCTTTTTTTCCTAAATCACAAAATTTTATTTGCTTATATCTGATACAATGTTGAGTGGTCACAAATTGACGCTGAGCGTTAGTTCATTGTGTAGGTCTTTGAGCATTTTAGACTACTGAGTGTCAATTTTGCATCGTTGAGTGTAGTAATATGTGAATGTTTTGGCATTGGGCGATAACAAATACACCATTGAATACCATCTTTTAATGCAACTGTGAAACATTTTTATTCCAGTACACTACCAAGTAGGAGGATGTTACCAAGTGTGACTTTTCATAAGAAGAATGACAATGAATGTCAGAAGTGTCAAGGTTTAACGCTAAATGCTAGAACTGTTGCTGGGTGTCACTTTTTGTGATAAATTTAGCATTGATTGCTACTTATGAACATCCATAAGTATGTGGTGTATTATTTTCTTCATCTTTTTTGTTTGAAATAAATTTGGGATGAAATTTATTATGTTTAGATATTTTCATCTAATGGAATTATTAAAATATTTAAGTTCCGTTTAATTATACCATGAAAACATATTATACATTTTTTTAATCCTATTTTATCAATTTAAATGGATTAAAATCCATCGTTAAAGACCTGTTATTTAAAAATGTAGTAATATATGGAAATTTTCAATTAATAAAAATATGTATATACATTAAATTTATCTTAGATATTATATTATCTAGTACTTTAAATATATACAAGTGGAAACATACATGTGTATGAAAAACGTTTTATTCCATGAGTACACATTTTCTCCAAAATGCATTAACTTAAATATTTTTAAAAAATATATACTATTTTTTAGTTTTGTATTATTTTAAGATATTTCTTTCGTACACATTTTTATGGTTTGTTTGGAAACAAATATTTAAAAAAAATTGAAATATTCTATTATAAAAGTATATTAATTAAAATTTTATAAGATTAATTTATGTTAGAACCCATTTAAAACGCACTCAGGATTCGTTTTAGTGGAATTCACGTGTCAAGAGGGGGCTCGACACTCAGATGACGGACGTCAGGTGTCAAGCGAAGAGGATCCAGAAATCAGATAGTGGAAGGCAGGTGTCGGCAGATGAGCGAACGCTCGTTTTGACGTTGGAAGGAAAACTTTGAGTTTCAGAAATCCAAGCCATTCTCTGCATGCAACCTCTCCTCCAAACTCTGGAACTTCATTTTCTCCTCCTTTTCTCTAAATCTCCTTCATCTTCTCTCTACGAAATCATCACCGTTTCTTCTCCGATCTCCGTTCAGACACCGTAGAAGCACTTATAGCGTCAAGAGCTTCCAGATAAACCGTTCGGTTTGTGAAGCGGAGCTGGTAAGTCCTTCTCTTCACTCTGTCGTTCGTTTTCCTAGACATGAAAACCCAGTTATGGTTTCATTTGTTGATCACCATTTTCTAAATTAGTGGTTCTGAGAGTGTGTTGGTTTTACTTGGTTTAGTTGGATAATTGTCGAGCGTTGAGGGTAGAAGAACTGGTAGTGGTGAACCGTATTTTGTCTCTAGGAACGTTCGTTCACGCTCAGAGGTAAGGGAAGCTTATCTAATTTAATTTGTATGTTTCTGTGATGCATGAACGTTCGTTGATTTGATGATTGGAAATGAAATATAAATGTGCTATGTTCTGATGTATGAAATATATGAAATTTCTATGATATGGATTGTATGAAGTATGAAAAGTGACTATGATATGAATATATGAAATTATGAAGATATATGTTCAGAAATTTAATTGAGATAAATGATTTCAAAGTATGAAATTCCCTATGAAAGTGTACGTTCGTCACTGAAGGGTTCTTGACCGTTTGGTTTTTCTAGTGAATTTGGTTAGAATTAGATTCTTTCATTTGGGAAGAATCCTAGTTGAGGACAAGTGTCTTCGTTTCGAAATATTGTGCATGAGCGTTCAATCAAACATAGTTGGTTTTCGGTATTTAGTTATAAACTTAATTATACATATATGTATTTGTATATTTTCTTTTATTCTTAAACACTACTCCAAATGGTATCTTATTATATTTACCAAGCCTTCTACTATAAGTTTAGTAGTGCTCGATCTTACACCAAGCGCTCGTACTGAGTAGTGCACGGTCTTACACCAAGCGCTCGTACTGAATAGTGCTGGGTCTTACACCAAGCGCTCGTACTGAGTAGCGCTCGGTCTTACACCAAGCGCTCGTACTCGTTTCTTTTATAATCTATCTTGAGGAAAATAGCGTTCGTCCAACTTCAATAGAGTTTTCTCTCTACCTTGTTCGGTCATTGACTAGCATTCGGTTTTCTTGATGTT